TTTTGAGCAGTCAAGAGAGGTGAGGAAATGCGCGACGTATTAATTAAGAGAACGTGTTCGCAGTTACACTAACATTAATAAAATGTGAATATACAAATGCAATTATCGATTGTTACAGACTGTGTGCCGATTCGATTTGTCGGATTTGAAACACAATCATAAACTGAAATCGACGATCAATTAATTTAATTGTGAGACCATTTTATTTCAGTTTACGATTGAATTTCAAATCCGACAAACCGAATCGGCGTATAGAAATAATAATTGTATTTGTATATCAATTCACATGAATATTATTAACAAGGAAATCTATGGAATGTCCGCCCTTGATTTTGATAAGCTGTAAATTTGTTTTCTACAAAAATAAGGGACCCATACTTTTAAGGGATGCAACCTTGGATGCAATACATTTAAACGAAATCGTTTTTTTCTTTTTTTTTTTTTCGAATATCGAAACTGTGAAAGATAGAAAAAGATGTTCTCAATAAAAGTTAAATGATTTGAAAAATACTTTATAATAACAATTAAAAGAATTCTAAATAAAAAAATTTTTATTTATCAAATATAAAAATTAAAAGTTTTTTTAAAATTATAATTATGAAGTACTCTTAAAACCATTCAACTTTTATTTCTAACATTTTTTTCTGTCTCTTATATTGTAGTTTCGACAATATTTGCTTCAAAAGACAATAATCAATTTTCTTCAAAGAAGTGTTGCACCTCCTAGAAGCGTAATTGGACACTTTTAAAAAATACGTCCCTTATTATTGTCCAGACAACAACATATTCAAAGGTCATAAAAATTGAAGGGAATCATTTGGGTTTCCTTATGAGCATCAAGACAGAAAATGGCCGCCTTCCCTTTTATTTCTGTTTAAACATTTTATTAATTAAATATTAAATAAAATAGATCATTTTTAATTAATAAAAATTTGTCGTGCGATTATTTCACTCGTAGAATGAATTACGGCAAATGAACCTTTCGCAACCCGGCTCGTAACTGTCGTAAGATCTTCAATCGTGCGGAGCGTCTCTATGGGAAAAAAAAAAAAAAAAGGATCGTCGTTCCCGGTGGAACGCGATGTGCCATTCGTTACGCAATTCGCGCATAGTTTTCGTTTTCTCAGCGAAGATTGAATCAACTGAAGTGTCGAGCGGCGAGTGATTTAAAGAGTAAGATGAGAAGAAACGTCGGAGTTAAAGATATCAGATGCTGGCGCAGCATCATTGATCAAAAGCGCCTCGCGCGTCTGCAACGGGAAAACGTAGCGAGCGCGGAATTATCGCCAGTCACTCGTAGTCGACGCTACCAGCTGACTACGAGCACGTTCAACCGCCGCGCCTCGCCGCTTCTCGAGACTGCGTGTCGTCGATGGTTACGCACGTCACGTTACGGCACGGCGCGGCGCGGGCTCATATTTCGTGCACGCGACGGCGCTCATCGTCGCAATTTCTTCAAGATATCGGCTTCACGAGAAGATGAAAAAGGAAAACAAAGGGGGAAAGAGGGAATCCATTTAAAATAAATTAACGGTTATATATTATTTGCGTGTTAATAGGCGAGCCTTACAACCGAGCCTGGATGATGCGCATTACTCGTTGAAAATCGTCCAAACTCGAAAGAGTGCGATATTTTTAGACTTTCATCTTTCAATGTCACTTTTCTTGGAAACGAGATCTTTTTTGAAAAAAAAAAAAAAAAAAAATTCTTTCCAAAAAGGCAGACGGGACACTTTTGATTGATTAAACGAGTGTCAACTGACAAAACGTATTATTAATTATTATTCTAAAATAAAGCTATGTGCAATATTACGAACAGGAATAAACGTTAGATTAAATATTAAATATTAGATGAAATATATATAAATATTAAATATTAAATTAAATATAAATATTACTAAATTAAACATTAAGTTAAATATCAGAAATAAAAAAATCAAATGAAATGAATATAGAAAAATGTAACTTAAATAATGGATGTAAACAAGAGATATAAATATGCAATACCTTATTTGTATCCATTGTACGCTACATTTAATCTCTATTCTTAATTTTTTGGTTTCTAGTATTTAATATTTATTCCTAATATTTCTTCCATTATGCGCAGGGTCGAATAGAGAATAAATATTATCATGTTATACGTGTATAAGTGCGTCGAAATAATTTCAAATGGACAACATTTCAATGTTTCATCATGTTTATGATGATTGCGAGGGCCACATGTATTTTACATGAATTTCCGAGACGTGTTTACGTGGGAAGAATATCAAGAGCGCGAATACGCTTTGCATCGACTCACGTTGAATGCGAAGTTGGCTCGTATGATTTTTGATTCGCACAGTGCGCAGATAGTTCTTATCAACTAACGTAAACAAAGCGAAGGTAATCGGGCGAGATACGAACAAAGACCGTCGTTTTTACAGATGGTATTGCTGATGCTAGAAATTGCCTAGTATTTAATTGCGATGTTGTTCAAGCTCAATGCTGTTCACTCTTAAATCGCGACTGTCATTATTAAACAGAGAGAATAAAAACACAGAGAATAAAAGCACAAATCGGAGTGGAGGCGAATTGACACAGGTCGTTAATTATCTTAACCCTTAGTACGCACGATTGGGTTCATTCACATTTTTTCTTCGAAAACCTACATAGGCGCATTAAATAATTAGTTATAACATTTATAGGTTTTTTTTTAAATACACAACCATATATAAATACTTTCTAAAGATGTCAAAGTATATGTATGAATCACTTCTGTGAGGTAAATCTGGTAATCCATGTGATTGGATAATCTTGCTATTTACTTAACAGGTAAAATTTACCAAAAGATGGAACAACCGGCCCTTAGACTCGGTTCCATAAATGTAAGAGATTAACTTTAATCTCAACTTAATCTTTATCTTTCTTTAATTCTTAGTTAAACCGACATTAAAATTAATCTTATTTTCGTGAAAACCCTAATAATTTTAATTTTTGTATATTTATTAAGTGGTGAGTTTAAGTGATGAAGATTAAACTCAGACACAAGAATGACCCGTCGTGTGTAGCAAAGAATCGGAAGATCATCGTGTGAAATTTGAACCCGAGAAGTGAGCGTTCCAATGTAATGAGGAGAATGGTAGGGCACAGGATGAAAAATCGTGGTTTTACAAAACGAAACGCAAAAATGCGGTTTATTGTGATAAATACAATCTGAAATTTATGACGCGCCAGTTTAGATTACATGAGGTTGCATTGTGCTCCGATTACGCAATCGCCCTCGTAACGTCGTCAAACGTCGTCAAACGTTGACAATTTTTTACTCAATTGACACTCTGACGTCACGCCACTCGAATATGAAGAGAGCCTGCCTTGTGAACCGCCGCTTCCCTTAGAAGCTGCGCATTAAAAGCTTGGCCGAGCTTATTTGACGACGCGATTCGACACAATGTAGAACGCGCCGCGAGCCAAATGATATATTTTCAGTGCCCGCGTCAGAGCCGCGAGCGTGTTTCTTGAAAGCGCAGAAGTTTTCCACGACGGGACGTGGAACGAGCTACCGATGCATTTACCGCGTCGATACGACGTCTCCATTCGCAACCGAAGGTCGTTTATCATACGGTAAACCGATGCGAAGTTGTAATTCCTCCGCTCAGCATTGATCTTCATCAACGTAGATAAACGATCGTAATAAATGGGATAAGCCTTTCTTTTTGCCAACAGTTTCCTGTCTTCTCTTAAACATGAACGTAAGAGTGATCGCCATCAAGTCAATTACCATTCGCGTATCGATATAAATAATTGTATGCTGTACAAAAGGGACTGTACTTCAATTTTTTAGTTCCAGCACGTTAAAAGGCTCGTTTAAAATTATCGACCGAATAAAAATGCAAAACAGTTCCTTGCGTATGATATGATACACTTGATATAAAATTCTTCACATCCTTCCGTATCAATTTGCATAAAATAACGATATTATAATTAACGGTGAGAAGCTTTGCTCGATTAAAATGTCAGCCGCTTCTACTCTTGCAAATATCTTGATTCTTGCTGAATTTATAATGCAAAGTGCTCCGAAACTCGCTGTTATTATTTTAATAACAAATCGTTTGTTCTTTTCAATTTATTAAAATTCATTCGCTGAGGATGAATCAAAGGAGAGCCGAAATGTATAATAGCTGATGTATGCTATGTATATATCGTTAATTAAAGCTAATTTTTTTTATTAAGTTGATTGCGCTTTGTGATCCGCATTGATTCCTATAGATTCGTTTTTTATTTTATTTGCTTAATAACGAATATTTCGAATTGATGTTAAATTATCGCGAAAATATCATCCGAGGTTTAATATTCATCAAATATGTTGAAAGTTCCTGTGTTATATTTATATTCGACGAAATGTAGAATGTTATACAGAATGTTGATTCTAGCAATTTGAACAGGAAATGTTTCTCTTGATAATTAAAATAGAAGAGAGAGGAAAAAGAGGAAGGATATAATGAGATCCAACTTTCTATCCAACATTACTTTTTTCGTACGAATATATATTTGCGATATGCATTTGCACGTTTTCTTTAAATATAGGTAAGTACTTTTTTTCTATCAATCGATTTTTCTTGACATTCTACGTATTATAAATATTAAGACAAGGTCATTAAAGAGAGAACGTTTTACAATATATTATACATATTTCACATTTTCTATCAGAAAGTATATCAAGAAAGTATGAAACATCTCACAAGACAATTTACTTTTTTACCGATGATCCTAACAACTACATTTACATTACAAAATAATGAGCAGAATAGATTTTTACAACAAAAACGTATATACTTCAATTTAAAAGAAAGCGCAATTTTTTTGCAGATTCCAGGTACATCGTTCCTTCATCTTTAAAAGATTTATTCGCGTGATTACCAATAATATTATCTTAACAGCTACATTTACACGATAAAATAATAAGCAAGATTAATTTGTACAACAAAAATATGCATACTTCAATTTAAAGAAAAGCATAATTTTGCAAATTGCAGGACGTTCATTCATCTTTAAAACATTCATCCGATGATTGTTGATGATTTTGCCAGTTACATCTTTACATTTACGTTATAAATAATGAATAAGTTAAATTTATTTATACAACAAAAATATACATTTATTTAAAGGAAAAGCGGAATTTTGCAGATTGCAAATACATACCGTTACTGCATCTTTAAAAAATTCCTCTGTAAAAAATGTATTTCCGTCTCGCTGGAATTTCCCTTCGCTATTAAATAGTAACTATAGTGAGAGAGAGGAGATGAACGGAGCGATCGGAGAATATCGAAAGAGCAGTGCTCGTTTGCATCATGCGCGCGTGTCGTCAGCTTGGCCGAGTTTGCCATCGGGTCAAACTCGTGCGCGCCACGAGCCATCCACACCCACGTGCGTCGCGTCGCGTCGCGTCGCGTCGCGTCGCGTTCGTTGTGTATTATTTTCGGCGCAAGTTCGCGGACCATGATCCGGAAGAAACTCCGTCGTCGCTGTTCCCCTGAAGAGTCTCCCCGTATATAGCAGCCACACGAGAATCTACTAGCGAATTCGATTGAACGCGCACATTAAACGCTGCATATTAAAGTACACAAATTGATGTAAAAATATGTATTCAATACAAATATAAAAACAAATCATAAAATCCTTGATACATTATATTGCGCAGTTAAGTAAAATGTGTATTTTATACACTGACAAAAAAATGTTCTGTATCTTAATGTATGTGTATTTCTTTAAATAGTACTAAGTAAACATTTACTTGCGGTAAATATAAATATTTACTCAATGAAAAATGATAGTTGAGTCAAATAAATAGATTTGCATCAAATAAATATATGTTTATATCTAGTAAATATTTACTTAAATTATGTTGAAATAAATGTTTATTAAAATTTAGTATTTTTCTCGAAGTGTAATTAGAAATGTTTGCATTTTATTTTTATACAAACTCGAATCAGCGTGTAACGGTTTTAATATGCGCTAGAGCGTCCAATCAAATTCGCTATATGTCTCTCGCCTACGTCCGCTATACGGAGGCGGCACACTTTTGCAATTTGTTAGACCTTCGACGGATCCTTGGATTCGCGCGAGGCTGCGTTGGTTCGCGGCCTGTTAGAGAGGCGCTAAATGCCGCGTGATTATTAACGCTCGTTATTATTACAGTTGCTTTCCATTTTCACTCAAGTGATATTGAGTCTATAAAGTTATGTGAATATTTTATACTGACATCATCGCCTGCTTACTTTGGTGACAAAGTTATCGCATAACAACACAGGTTTACAAATCTCATTTTTAATGCGAATAAAGGTCACGTCAAATTACTTACGACGTAAGACTTAAGCAGCGAGGAAATCAACATGCTGGATTCGCTACTGCTCACGTATGTGATTGGGTCTTAAGCCCAATCTACAATTGCGTAGTTGTATTTGTAAGAATTGACCCATCACACTTGAATGCGAGGAGAATATCCGACTGTAATTGGTGAATTTTTACACCCAGAGGAAGATTTCTTCGATTTAAAGAAATGTTTCTTTGCTCTATACGGTTAAAGAAAAAGTTTCTTTGATTTGAACGTCATTTCTTTGATTTAAATATAATTTAAATCAAATGAATTTTAACGTTTGAATTTTTTTTATTTAATTTCAAAAAATAATGTTTAAATCGAAGAAATGACGTTCAAATCAAAGAAACTTTTTCTTTTTTCTTCAGCCGTATATAGCAAAGAAATATTTCTTTAAATCGAAGAAATCTTTCTCTAGGTGTATAACTACGACCACTTACAATTGTAGATCAGGTTCACGCTCACTGCTTAAATCTTACATCTTAAGGAGGTTGTAAGGGCATAAAATACATATGTTAATTTTTAACGCTTTGAACAAACTGCATACATGTGGAAATTGTGTTCATAATATTCTGTTTTTATTGAGCAACACATTTTTATAGATAATTTATTTTATTTGACGTTAGTTTTATTTTTGTTATAAACAGACATTTTAAAAATAATTTACAAAAATCTAAATTTTTTTATATACATATTTTAAGTACTAAAAATGACTTATGCAAAATTTCAGTGAGATTCACCAATTAGTTTATAACAAATAAATATTTTATTTATTTACCGAACAATTAATGTCTGTCTCAATGTAACTTCACATAAATATTTTTGAATTCATAAAGTACTTACATAAAAAAAAATTGAGATTTTTATTATTTTTTTATAATACATTTTCATATATTTCTATTATAGAGTACAAATTTAAAAAAATATTAATTTTTATTGAAATAACTTTTGATCTAGATGGTCAACTGTCTAATTTTTTTGTATGACTTTTAAATACAATTTAAATAATTTGTAATAATCTGTAATTTTTCCAAGTAATTCTTAACGTATTGCATTTGCCTTACAATTTCTTTAAGTTTTTTTATGTGCCGTGAACTTTAACAAGATTCTATAATGTTGCGATTGTAGTTGTAAGAACTGACTAACCACAATCAAATACGAGGAGAATATTCGATTGTAATTGTCAATTTTTATAAATACAGTTACGTACAACCACGCTTACGCAATTGAATTGATAAAATGGGTTTAAAACACACAGTTTCGAGCTTGTGCAAATTATAGATAGAAGATTTTTTATCAGAATAAAAAAGAATTCAACTGAATTATGACTAATGAGAATTATCGGAGTTTTGATGTAAATAATAACCAACTATTATCGCTACGTATCTGGATGTAGCTGGAATTCTTGCTTCTTACGTAATTCAGGAAAATGTTTTACGTTTTACGAACCATTTAATAAAAACAAAATGCTGTTTTACTAGAAAGAACATTAACTCTTTAAAACTTTTAAGCCGGTATTCATAATCGGTTTTAATTTTAAGATTATTTTAAGTGTCTTAAGATACTAATACAGCACACTGATTAATTCACGATATCTTAAAATTATATTTAAAACAGCTTTAAATATAAGAATTGATTATGAATATCGGCTTTAGAGTGAATCTCACTCTGAAAAGTGAAATATCATTTTTAAAGATTGCAGGAAATTGAGCCGCTCATTTTCAAGACCGGCTCAATTTTCTCATATTTTCTCAAAGTGAGATTCTACTCGAAATAATTTAGAGAATAGGTATACTGTTTGTTACCTTTGCAGTGCCAGCTTGATGTCGAAGGTGATGGTGGTGCCGGTGTCAACGTGGAAGATGTACAGCATGTTGCGTCTCGTGGATAGACTCCTTAGAGCGACACAAGAGTAGAAATTGCTAAAACAGCCCCGTCACGGATGTCTTCCTCCACCGTGGGCCCTATTAGCAGCAGGATTGGCCCTCGGTTTGGACGGTTCCCTTAGTCAGCTCGATCGGGGCCGTACCCCACGTTCTCGATCGTTCGCGAGGACGGCCCCGTCAAGACTATGCCGCATCGATCAATGCGATCCTCGCCGTCGATTCTGAGACAAAGCCACTGAGAATCGCGCCGCGTTGCAGAGTATCATCCAGATATCTCTCTCTCGCGCGCGAGAGCCCGATCGCTTCGAAGTGGGCGGGGATTCTTCGGTTTCGGATCGTCGAAAGAGAAACTCAAATCCAGTCAACCAGTGTCTTCGTGTCGTCTTCCAGTGGAGTCCGTTTCCTTTGTTCTTCAAAGGTCGCTCGGGACCAAACACGTTTTCGCTCCTCGCGCAATCCTCGAGAGCAATCCACGTTCACCCGCTTGAAAAAAAACAGAAAATTCACTCCCGCTTCTGCCCTGTGGGGGATCCGACGAGTAACACCGGTTGCCCTAATGTCATAATCTCCCTGCGGTACACAGCAATCCCCCGTACGCACGATTCACGTCATCGAGCTCAGCGTGTTCCAGCGAGTGTGTCCAGCGACTGACCAGCGCCGAAGATTCGAGCACTCGACTTTATTACACTCCGTTTAGCAGGAATTTGAATCCTTTCGTCACGTTTACCATCACTATCTTCTCCTCCCTCCTGCAAAGCGTCCGATCGCTAGATCAATTATCAATTTAGTTTCTCACGGCACCCTCACGGAGCGTCGGATTACGTCACAGACTTGAAGAAAAAAATCCGTCTTGCGAAGCGTCGTCGTTGGCAATCGATTCCCAAACGAGGGCTAATCACGATTCCCGACCGTTTCGACGACGTCGTCGGAAGGTTGATCCGCCGAAGGTGGACGCCTCGTCGAGGGTGGTGGTCGCGTTTATCCCCGGCGTCGTGCGCGCCGATGACAAAACGTCGACGCGCGTGTCGCACGTACCGTCGTTAAGCGTAACTCGCAGTAACTCGCCGTCGCGTCGGATCAGCTGCTCGGCAAAACAAAGCACTCGCGCACCGCGTTACGCCACCGCGTCCGTCGCCGCCGCGCTGCTCTCTCGCTCTCCGTCGCTCTCTCGTTCGCTCGCTTCTCGATTCGAGCGACACCGTCGTTCATCAGCGACACGGTCACCGTTCGTCAGTTAGATGTCCCTCCACAAGTGATCCCCGCACTAATTTATCGCTGGACGACGCCGTCGGGAGCCCGGTCCGTCTTCGTGTAAAGGGGATCGACGGGAGGACGCGACCGAAGTGAACCAACCGCGCGACACAATACAAACAATGCTGCGCCGTACGCACTGTCAGTCTATGCGCAGAGCGGTCGCGCCGAACAAAGAGATTCCGCTTTCCCCGCTGCTTTTCCACGGCAATGACGCTCGCTCGTTTCGACGTCTCCTCGTCGATGGTTAACGGCGCGGAAATGTCGGGATTATTCTGCGTCGGTGTAATTCGACGAAGGCTTCGGCTTGGACAGCGGCCGAGAAATGTGTCGGTCGGGGATCTCGCCAGGATATAATTGGATGGAAGGGAAAAGGGGAGGGGGACGACGGGCGGACCTGCTCCGCACAGTCCCGTTTTGCGTATCGTACTGACGCAAAGCGTCGCCAGCTGTTTACTGTCGCTCCTCCGACCTCCGAACACAGCCGAGTACGGCGGACAGAACGTCCGAGGCTACGGTGGGGGAAATAAGTCCAGCGGCGCTGTCGTCGTGCGACCAGTGACGGAGGTCGATCCCGAGTTCCCGGCTCCATCGAACGGTGTACTTCACTTGGTTGAATTTTGGACATGTATCAAATATTTGGGCATGCTCGTGAGTACTCGGTATATGATTCAAAATCAGTCGGCGGCCTGACGAAATGTAGCGAAAGTCTCACACACACACACACGCACGCACGCGCACACACATACATACACACATACATACACACACACACACACACACACAGAGAGAGAGAGAGAGCGCCTCGCCACGATAAATGGCTGAACTTCTAGGCGTGGAAAAGTGACTTGACGATGAAATTTGTGCTGCATGCCATTTTGTTATTGTTTGCTTAATTGTGAAAATGTGACGTGTCTCATACTTATGAAAGTTCTAAAAATGAGCAGATACTATAGTTATCCTGGAATTTTATACGTAAAAGCGTATATTTCATTCACTTCAACAGTTGTTCAAACCGTGTGTTTCTGCCCGAAATTAGGCTCACTTTACCTGTCTTTTACGACCATTTACTGACTATTAAGGAAGAAAAGAACAGTTTCTGCCCATTTTTACAGATATTTTAAAGCAATCTCGTCATTTAGATTTATCCAAATTGTCTTTATTTACAAATGGCTTGCAGCATAAATTAATGTATCATTCCTCGCTTCTGACGTCACGATTCCAACATGGCTGCTGCAATTACTAAGGAGCCTAAACCTATTCTACAATTACATAAATATAGTTGTAAGTGCTTGTAGTTGTAAGAATTGATCAATCACAGTCGAATATTATCCTTATATTCGACTACGTCTAAACTACAACCACTTACAGCTTATACAATAAAATGAGCTCCATTAGACCGTAATCACACTACAGGTTGTCGATTACAGTTGCTGTCAACATTGTCAGTTCTATTTTAGTCAATCATGATGCAGCGAATGCAGGTTAACTGCAACATGATTGATGAAAATAAAACCGATAACCAGCAACTATAACTTGTAGTGTGATTATTACGACCTTAGTCAATTCTTACAACTGCAACTATTTACTATGCTTACGTAATTACAGAATGAGCCTTATGGAATTATTCGAAATGGATTCCGATCGGAATTATTCCATTTTCCTTAAAAAATACAGTAGGCTTGTTCGCTTGTGTACTTTTTGCACTCGGCATCTTCGCTTTCTTTTTCTTCAACGTCTGAATATATATTTATCTCCTTTTAAGTGCAAAAACTTCTGGGAATTTCATGCAACGTAAACAGATCTCATGGAAATCTAAGAAATAAATAATTACGATTTAAATTCATTTCGAATAATTACATAATACGTACTAGTAATTAATTCAAGTGGCAAAATTGGTGCTACAGCAAAATTAACTTCTGATTGTAAAATTTGTTATCTTCCTAATTTAAGTTAATTGTTGTTTCAAGCGAAAATAAATTAATTATGCTCTACCCACGTTGACAAAATATTGCAAGTACTGCTTGATAAATTTATCGTCGATTAATCAAAATTTGGCCGAAATTGGCTGGTGGCAATGTCTCACTTTTAAGACGAAAACAGATAATGCTAAGAAATTGTTGATACTCTTAATTACGAATAGACTCAAAAATATTAATCTATTTTCTTAACCCAATCGATTGTAAGACAAGAAAAGATAAAAAAATTCTATGATGAGAAAAAACTAGGATTCCTAATAAAAAACGTTAGGCTGGAATCTGTAATATTTAAATTATTACAAAAATTCTAAAAATAGCTTTACAAATGTCATGTGGGAAATATCATTATAACGAAATCAATCCGTTTCGATTCTAATCATACGATAATAATAATTATCAAATGTATCTTTAATGAAACTATTGAATACGTTACTTAAGTTTAACCGTTATTAGGCACACCTGAGTACACCTAGATAATTTATGCAGCGTGCGACCCACGTTAAACGTCGGCCCTGTAAATCAACGATCACGCTCGTGACGTCATCGAGCGCATGCGCCGTTCCCTCGTTGTGAGAATAATGTACACCTGACCTAGTCACCGATGCTAGCTAATTAAAGAGCGGGTTCAGAAAGCAAATATGTTTATCTCCACAATAATGTCTTAGAATCGTCTACACGTCATAGTTGTTGTCTTGTAATCGGGTAATCTAATTTAAGTAAATGACATTGCTTTTGCATAATTTTTATTTAAGACTTATTATTAAAGGGAGATTTAAAGTGATTTGGCAACGTACAATTCCACGCATGTTGTTTTGCGTCTCGCAAGCTTTCGTTTCGAAAGTTATAAAGCTCCAAGTATGTTTTTTCAACCTCTACTGTAAATAATAAACAATCAAATGTATGATATCGTAAAACCTAATAGGTACTAAAATTCAAGAATAAAGAATCCTTTGTTCTCATCTCTATCTGCGCACTACTTTTATGATTTTCTATCCCGTAAAAAATGCAGACCTTTTAAACCAAGGGTTAACTCTCGAAAAGTATTATATTTGTTATACAGCCGAACTACACACTTTTTGGTACTTAAAGAGAAATATATTTTGATATTTGAAAGCGGAAAGGAAAATTCTAAAGCAGTTTCGTGCAGAAAAAAAGACACCTATTGCATATAAAAATGTTATATATACACTAAAAAAACCAAATTTTTAAATTAAATTTTAATTAATATTGGTTTGTATAGTAAATATTTATTAAAGTAATATTTATTAAATGCAAATATAAATTTATTTGTTATAAAAACTATTTATATATTTGATTTAACTATCGTTTCTTTTATAAAATAAAAATATTTACTGTAAATAAATTCAGAGAAATATATGTTAAGATTTAATAATTTTTTTTTTCATGTTACGTATAATATTATATAGATTTTCGTATGTGGTAGGTTCAAAAATAGGCCTTGCCTCAATCATTAGTGTCTATTTTTGAAAAATGTTCTGCCCTTCTTCGCGGTTCTCATTGGCTTGCAAGAGTAAAGCTTCGTTCAACGCAAGGGCTCGTAGCGCAAGATTCAGTAGCGATCATGAATAGAATTCGACCGGAAAAACAATATAGTACATCGCTATTTCGCTCGTTCTCCTTAATATTAAAGTCTCGTAGCACATAGCAACCCACGACTCGAGCCGACACTCGACAGTGCTGCTACAGCTGTTCGATCCTTCGGTCGCGCTTGCGCGACCTCGGCGGGATGCGCGGCCGTCGTTTCTCTTCTTCTCGCGCACGCAGTCGCCTAACAACAAAGCGTATTTCCGAGACGAGCGATGAATGGAAGATACGAACGAAACGAGACTTTCGAGCGAGCACGTCCAGCGGCGACTCTGTGTCGTGTTTGTTTACCCTCTGCTACCCGATCGATATCCACACTTCCTGTATCCGTTCAAATATACTCGCTCT